GATATATTGTGAAATATATATAGAGCATAGTTCATACCCTGCGATCTATAAGCCCTATCCAGGAGTCAATTCCGTAGGCCAAGACCATAGGATGTGACAAGTAGTCCGCCCATACCCACGAACTGTAAATGGATTCACCCTTCGTGTCCACATAGTCACATGCGACCCGCATGTCATACATATTGCGCACGTTTGTATCCGTATACACGCGTGCAACCCCTCTCCCGTATACATGAGGACCTGATTCGGGGTGAGTGTCGTTGATGTCCTGTACCTGTGAAACGGACACTTGTCGCGACACACCCTGCCACGTGCACACGGTGCCGTCCTCTAAGCACACCAAGCACTCGCGTGAGAAGGGACTTGGCATAGTGTGCACTACATTCTGGCCCAGTGCCAGGGTGTCTAGGCGTGTGATCTGTGACTGTGTGTTGCACTCGTAGATGCGCACCTCGCGCTGTCCGCTAACACTGACCAGCCAGGTGTCTCTGCAGGTGTCTTTGGCTGGGGCGTTGAGTGGGTGTGAACTTAGATGACAGTACAGGGAAGGGGATATGTGTAGTAGTAGTACTGTGATTGGTGAGGGCTTTAGGTGTACTCTCGCACTTGGTGGGAATATAGTCGACCAATAGTATGTCTGGTACGCGACGCAGTATATTCAAGACAAATTCTACACATCCAAATGGATTATGTGTACAGTACCCGTGTCCGTTGTCAACCACGTACATTTTAAGCTCAGATAAACCTACCGCTCAAATAAACCTAGCGCTCAGATAAACCTACTGCTTAGATAAATCTACCGCTCAGATCAACCTACCTCTCAGATAATTCTACCGCTCAGATAAATCTACCGCTCAGAAAAACCTACCTCTCAGATAAACCTACCGCTCAAATAAATCTACCGCTCATAAAAACCTACCGCTCAGATAAACCTACCGCTCAGATAACCCTACCACTCAGATAACCCTACCGAGAGTACGAGAATGCAGTAGCCAAGCCAAAATATACGCAAGTGTACAGGACACCCGAGCACACAACACCACGCCAAAACGCGCCAAAACAAAAACATAACTAACTATACACATGCACACACCAACAGACCATGCACACGCTTAGCCCGCACACCAACAGAACCAACCATGTAAAGTACACACGCATGCAACCTATGTAGTACATACATGCACACAAGCAGACCACCGCAAACAACCTCATACGCACACACTTACGCCCACACACCAACAGAACTAACATGCAAAGTATGCACGCATGCAACCTATGTAGTACATATATGCACACAAGCAGACCACTGCAAACAACTCATACGCACACACTTAGCCCACACACCAACAGAACTACATGCAAAGTATACACGCATGCAACCTATGTAGTACATACATGCACACAAGCAGACCATCGCAAACAACTCATACGCACACGCTTAGTCCACATACCACGATATTCTGTGCTGATCTGTCGGATGCGCTCATTTAATAGGTCCTCATATATGCCCCCTTCATCGGGACACCCGAGGCCCTCATTTTTGGACCGCCTTCGGACCTTCCGGACGTGGAATGTATCCATGCCTGCAATACAGGTATACAGCATTGAACATGGTTGCAATAGACGATATGTATACTACTTACAACTAGGCGCGTAGAGTGGCATGTAGCTAGTCCCGTCGTAAGTATATGCAACATTGACGAAGGTTGCAATAGAGGGCACGTAATGCTTACATCCAGGTGCGAGAAGTGGCCTGTAGCCATGCCTGCCATCAGGTGAATGCCGAATTGTACAACATTACAACCTTACATTGAGCTGCCCAGGATAGTTACGTGCATGGACTGGATCCCATGTCTGTCTGGTGTAGAAGATATCATGAACAGAATATAACCTAACCCCTCAACCCCCTAAAAAAACCTAATATATGTGATATGTATAATGCTTGTGCGCGTAAATAAAAATGGGTCCATGTCTGCCCTATAAAACGGGACTAGAGTATCATCGAATATCAGCTAATCTCGTACAATGGTGATGGTTGTAGTTGTGAAATCGCGCACATTTAGGTCAAATGATCACGTACATATACAGCAATTGTATGCATGTCAGTTTGTATGCATGCCAAGTTGTATGCATGTCAGGTGGTATGCCATTTGGCATAGCTACCTGCCACTAAAATATGCGCCGGAGCTACATTGTTCCTGAGGTGGTGATATGTCGTTGGTGGGTGTCATTTCAACCAGAATACCATAGAAAAAAAACAAAACGCCATAGAAAAGGCAATAGAATAAAGCAACCGAATGCCATAGAAAATTAAACAATGCCAAAGCTATACCAAATGGCGAAGTAGCCCGATTTCCGCTGATTTGATTGGCAGATTTCGAGTTTATTCGATGCAACTTGGTCATCCGACCCCCGCCAAAAAGTAAGAAGCACCATATATGTATCAATGTGATCTACGCAGTGCGAACGGTCCGATGTATTCGAACACATGCGTAAGACCGCCCCACACGCACATACACCTCACAGTGTTAGTACTAAAACTATTGCCCTGGTTGTAAATTGTGGCTATTCCAGCAACGTCTCGTGCAGTTCTTCTAGACGCTGTTGCATACACTTACGCTGAGTACGTGCTTCACCCGTGCCCATATCTCACGAAGCAACTGCAATATGAATCACAAGCTACAGCACACAGTGCTCAACGAAAACTTCAGCACTATCTGAACCAATGGGATGATACAAATAATAGTCACCTCCACTCACATGCACTTACCTACACCCATGGGATGGTACAAATGATAGTCATCTCCACTCACAGGTACGCATGCCAAGGGGTTTGTGGCGCCACGGTCGTAGTAGCGGCGCTTCTGTTCGACCCACAAAGACTCCTCGATCATTGACTGCAGTAGCGTGTTGTCCACGTCCACTTCACGACGTAATGATTGTATATGCTTTGTCTATGATACCCAAGATGGAAGAAATGGTTGGTGCTCTATGAGAAGGCATTCAGCGGTCCAAGCCTATAGATATATGTATATGTATATGTGTATATATAGATATAT